CAGCCTGCTCGAGGGCGTCGCATCGCTGCTCGTCATCCAGTCGCTCGCATCCACCTCACGCTGGATCATCGCCTCGTCACTCGCGGCGCCTTCCGCCCGATACCCGCCGCGCGCCGCAGCCCGAGGCCAGTCGCAACCCAAGAGCGCCGCGTGGGTGTCCAACACGTTCATCATGCGCTCGCTCGCCTCGATCGGGTTTGGCGCGAGCGAGGTGTGGCAGATCTTCTTCCTGCTCGTCTCGGCGACCATCTACGTCACCGCCGCCTTTGCGCTCTACGTCTCCTTCGACGGCGCCACCAAGGACCGCCCGGGCACGGCAGCGGCCATCGCCACCTCGGTCACCTCGACGCTGTGGCTCACCGCCATCGCATTTGCCATGCGCAAGGGCAACGTGATCGAGACGAGCCTCATGTTCGCCTACGTGGTGTTCAACATTTACCAGCTCGGACCCAGCCTGTCCTTCACTCCGGATCCCATCTCGCTCATCCGCAGCTTTAAGGTGGACACGCACGCGCGCACGTTTGTCGACAAGCTGCCTCGCTCGCTCCAGGCCTCGCTCACGGGCAAGCTGCTCCAGGCGGCGAGTGGGCTGGTCGAGGTGATTGCGCACTGGCTTGGCCAGTCGGTCGACTTTCTGCACGCCGCGGCGGCCGCGCTGCCCAAGTCGGTGATTGTGTCGCTCGTGTACAGGCTCATGGTGCTGTACGCGGCGAGTCGCATCCTGCCCATGCTCAAGGGCAGCGTGGCGCCGCGCGAGCCGGCGGAGCGCGAGCACATCGCCGCACAGTGGGGCCGCACAAGCCGTCAGGCCGGGGAGGACGAGAGCGACTGGAGCAGCTCGTCGGGCACAGAGTCGGACAGCTCGTCCGAAGAGGGTACCGAGGTGGAGGAGCTCGAGGAGGAGGTGTGGGATGACGACGAGGGGCGGTGGGTGCTGCAACGGCGGCGGTTGAGGCGTCGGACACGAAGGCGCACGCCCATGGATGCCGCCGTCGACACCGAGAGCGAGTCGGACACGGATGGCGCAAAGTACTCGGAGGACGACAGTGGCATCGCCTACCACGAGCCGTCGCTCGCGGAGCAGCTCAAGGAGCCCGAGCCGGGCATCGAGGCAACGCTTCAGTCTGCGCCGTCGACTGCGCCGCGCGGGGCAGGTGCGGGGCGGACACGCGGAAAGCCTCGACGTCGACGTCGCGGTGCACCACGTGCGCCCGCAGCATCGCCACCAGAATCGACGCATGAGGCGGTTGGCGAATCGAGTGGAGTGCGCAAGCGGCCGAGCATGTCGCGTCCGCCGTCGGCACGCACGCACAAACGCGCTCGCCCGACGACGCCCACTCGCGCCTCGCCGCACGCAGCTGCGGCGGCCGAAACGCCGCCGTTTGGTTCGGCCATCTCGATCGTCGTCTCCTACTCGCGCCTGATCCTGATTGCGGTGTACAGCCATCTGCTGCTGCTGGACCAGGCGAATCAGATCTACTGGCGTTTCCTCACCGTCGCCATCACGCTGCTGCTGTGGGGACTGGAAATCGTCATTGCCACCGAAGACGTCGTCGTTGGCGGCGTAGGCGAACTAGGCTCCGCCGCCGCCCGATCGTAACCATTCACACAGACAGGCAATTGATTGAAAAACACCGGGGCGGCTCTCTGTTCCAAGTGTGCGCGGGCGGTTCAGGCCAGCCCTGTGAGACGGTCCCAGTCGAGTTGGAGCGAAAAGTACTCGGACCAGTAGTTGGCGAGGTCCTTGGGGTTGAGTGGTGCGCCCGCCGGTGCGGTGTCGGAGGTGGTGGGTGGGGTGGCCGCCTCGGTGTTTTGGGCCGAATCCAGCGGTGCGGGGTCGGGGATGAAGGGGTCGTAGCAGAACTGTCGCGTCGGAGGCGTGGCGCCCTGCTGGTCGTAGGTGTTGTTGAAGAGCGTGACGAGCGGAACATTGGCGAGTCCCGAGGGTGAAGCTGTTGCCTCTGTTGGTAGGGCCGTGGTGAAGATCGGAGGCAGGAAGCCCGAGTGGGACGAAAACTCGACCCCGCTCGCCGAAGGGAAGAGGGCCGAGGGAGAGATGTCTGCACTTGGTTCGGGTTCCTGTACGGGCGCTTGGGGTTCCACCTCGGGCTGCGGGGTACGCACTGCCATGGATGCAGCCTCGGGTGTCTCCCTCGCCGCAACGGCCAGCTTGCGCAACACCCTCAGCCCATGCTTGGCCATCTTGAGCCCCGTCCACCGCTCGGGCATGCGGTCGAAAAAGTCCACCAGCACCGCCAGATCCTCGAGCGCCGATTGCGCATGCTTGCTCTGCGGCCGAACAAACACAATGTACGCGCCCGCGATCGCGGCTTGGTAGGTGTAGTAGGCGATCTTCCAAAACATTGTCGCACGCGCCCGGCCAAGCAGATCAATCATGGTCTGCTGTGCCCGCGTGATCCTCCTCAACGCCTGTGCGCAAATGTGCAGCGAGGTCTCGTTGATCTCCCTCCTCCCTTCCTCCTTCTCCTCGTGCGAATACAGGTTGGACCGATGCAGCGACATCAACACATAAAACACCTCGACCGCAAGATTGCCCGACTGATGCACCTCCATGAGCCCTTTGGTCTTGAGGTCCACCCCGGCCGCGCGGTAGTTCTGAATCGCCTCGGCATCGCCCTCGGAACCCAGCAGATCAATACGCCCCAAGTCGGGGCGGTAGCGTTCGGGGATGTTCATGTACCACTGGAGCACGCGCTCGGTATACTCGATCACCTGCGCCTGGCTCCAGCTGTTCTCCTGGTTCTCGTCGAGATAGGTGCGTGCAAACTGGCTGAACTCGCACTGCAGCCTCGCATACGTCACCGTCCCCGGCGCAGGCGGCGCGGGAAAGCGGCAGCTGAAGCGCGTGATCCCCAGCGGCCGTCCGAAGATGCTCGAGAGGATGGCGTCTTGGTGCACGGCTGCCCACCACAGACGTCGCCGCGTGTCCGCCTCGACCGCATCCCAGTCGCGCCGGATCTTGTACGGGTCGACGTGCAGACCGATCGACTGCGCCTGGCGCGCGACCGAGCCGAGCAGCGGCCAGAACGACGCGGCGCGCTCCGTGTTGAGCAGATACGACCCGATGAGCAGCTGGCAGTGGATCGTCTGCAGCGTCGGCGCCGACAGGAACGAACACAGCCGCAGCGACTGGTACGCCGCTGACAGGAAGAGGTCCGACACCATCGCTGGCCCCTGTGCTGCTGCCTCGCCTACCGCCGCCGCTGCCGCACTCGTCCCCGCCGCCGTTGCCGCCTCGGCATGCGGTGCAGGCGACGAGGCTCTGCTCGCCTGCCGGCTCGCCTGCCTGCTCGGCGTCTGGGGTTCGCCGGCTAAAAACGCACCCAGCATGCGCACCTTGCGATCCACACCGACGGTCGTGCTTTCCAGATCGCAGTTCTTGCCCAGCGCACAGATCATCAGAAACACCCCCAGCCAGGGCAGCGAAACCTGCGCCTGCTGTGCCCTGGTCATCCTCGAGAAGCTCTTGGCGTGGTTGATCGCGGTGGGAATGGTGAGCGCGGGGCACATGGCGGAGAAATGGCGCACGAACGAGGCGCAGATCGTATCAAAGTCCTCGGCGCGCGGGAAGAAGGGCAGCACCTCGTCGATAAACGCCGTGCCCGAGCTCCAGATGGTCGCGAAGGGGAACGTGTCGCGCGAGGGGTCGAGCACGCTGTTGAAGGCAAAGCGCATGTCGGCGCGCGCCTTGGACTCGTGCAGCCCCGTCGCCGGCTGCCCGCCCGTGCGCATGGCCGAGGTGGAGTTGGCAACGACGGTGCGCAGCACATCGCCCGACTCGCCATAGTAGATCTGCGTGCCGTTGATGTTGGTGGGTGAATCGAGATCGTCGGTTCGAGGCGTGCGTGGCGGCTGCCCGGCATGGGCCTGCTTGGCGTAGGGTGACTGCGGAGCGGGCTGGCGCGTGCTGCCATGGTATCGGGTGGCGGGAGAGCGTTGCGGCTGCGCGGGCGCCGAGTGGAACGCTGGCGAACGGTGCGAGGACGACGCCGACGACGACGAGGCCGCCTGCGATGCCTGCGATGCCTGTGATGCCGGTGCGGACCAGTGCAGGATGCGCGACTTGGTGGCATTCGTATCTGCATCCTGGTGCTGCGGCCCGGCGATCTCGGCGAGCATCTGCAGGCCGCGTGCAGCGTGCATGTCTGTGGATGCCGAAGGCAGCGTGCGGTGTCGCTCGCCCAAAGGCGAGCCGGTGGACCAGCTGGAGGATGCAGGGCGTGGCGAGGCGGGCGCGGGTGCTGCGGACGGGTATCGAAGCAGATGCTGCAGGCGACGGGTCTCGCTGCGCGCCTCTTGAAGCTCGGCCCTAAGCGCAGCGAGCTGCTTGGCTGCGGCGGGCGAGGCTGCTTCGTCGTCGTCGTCGTCGTCCGAATCGTTGCACGACGCCGATCGTTTGGACGACGCCGAGGCGGGCTGGTGCGGAAGGCGCGGATCGTACGTGCAGTCGCTCGACTGTCCGGAGCGAGCACATCGTCCGCAGGCTGGTCGTCCACGGTCGCAGGCGCGCTTGCCCTTGAGGCACGGGATGCACGACTTGGGGATGCGCAGACGCTTGCGCTTGGCCGGCTGGCCGTCGTCGTGCGCGGCGGTGATGGCGGCGTGGCTATCGTCGGCGGGCATGGCTGTTCAGAAGATCCACGTCGTGGTGCGCAGCGAGGTCTGGGTGAACAACGGTGGGTCCGAGCTGGACGATACGTGCGCCCGGTGCGGGGTGCGCAGTGCCGGGGTGTGCAGAGAGGGATGACGAGGGCCGGGTGGCGGGCTAGAGTAGTGGCTCAGAAGCGGTGGCCGAGACGGGCGCGAGGCACGCAGTGTGTTGGGACAGTGGGACGGGAAGGTGCGGCTCAGGTGTGCTTGTGGGCGGGTGTGGCTGCGGGATGTCAGCAGTGATGATGAAGGTTGCTGGCGGAGCAGCGATAGCAGAGGTGGTGGTACGGCGGAATGAAGCACCGCACTCGACATCCGCGCGGGGATAAATCCGCGCAGCGCATTTACGGAGCTTCAATGCCGACATCCGAACATTGCGACTTAACATTTCCGAGCCCGAAAAAAAAGGCCGGCGCATTTCTTTGGACCCTGAATTCCGTCCTTCTCCTCCTGCCACCACATCGTTCCGGCTCAGCTTGGCCATGCCGCCATTCGACGAGGAGGAGGCGAAAGCCTCGCCATCATCACGCACGGAAACATCGCGCGATCCGCTCTCCGAAACGATCACGATACCGGATCCAGACAGCGCAGTCGCCGCTACTCCACGCACAAGCAACGCTGACAAGCGCAACTGGACTCCATCGCGGCCCCACGAGACACCCACTCGCACCCATGCCACCGCCGCCATCTCCTCGTCCGACTCTCCCATC